CTAGTCACTTTGCATTTTCTATATTGAAAAAGTTTAAAACTGATTTTTAGTAATTCTAGTACCAGGTGAGCTCTTTTCTAGGCAGCTCCACCTTTCAATTCCGCAGTCCCATCAAAAAGAATATGATAATTGTCTGCAAAAATGATAAATAACTGTGAAAAGCTGAAGAGAGGTAACTGTCATCTACCTGTTCCAGTATAAGGCTTCTTAGGAATCAGTTGAAGTGGGTAGATCAGAGCAAACAAAATTGGGTGGGGTTTGGTTGTGTTTTTTTGTTTTCAAACAATATGCAGTTAAGCTGCAGAAGTCCTTGCCACAGGATGTTATAGATGCTATCACAGGATGGAAATACACTCAGAGCTAAAAATACAGACATTGCTGCTGGTTCAGGAAACCCATGAGCCACAAGTTGGAGTGTGGAAGACTATTTGGAGAAGGCAGCAATACATTTTTCCTTAGGCTGCGCTTTTGGACACAGTAGGAGATGCCAGAAGCCCTTTGGCCTGATTCAGTACAGTACCTTTGCTCACCTGCTACTGTTCCAGCCAAGTGTACTTGGAGAGGTCATTCCATCTCGTGCGGCTGTGAACGAGTCTGGAGCCCAATCTGCTGGAAACTGCCAGGTGGGCCAATATAAGCTGTAATTCCCTCGGGTGCGGAAGAATTCAGAATGATCAAAAAATTTGGATTAATTTTCTAGACAGTCGTCTTTGTGATACTAAGCAGAATACTTTAGTGTGATTGTGGTTCAGCTAATTATGCACTCATGCTATTCTGAAGTCTGATTTGCAAAAATGATGAGCAGTGATAGCAGAGGAAACTAGTCTTGTGAGTACTGAAGTGTTTTATAAATGCTCTACTTCCAAGTTAACAGATCCTTGACGTTTCAGTTAGGTACTCATTTAGTAGACACTTTTGAACCTAATCTTTCCAGGACTTGCTTATCAATAAGTAAATAAGGTGATATTATCCTTTTTACCAAACTGAGGGCTGGGGAAGAGTTCTAAGGAATTGTAAAAGTAAACAGTGACCTATTTTTCTGCTGTAGCAGTGAGCACTATGTACAGAGTGTGACAAAGAAATGAACAGTCCAAAGTCATACTTGGAGAGTTTGGAGTACACTGAGTTCCAAGACTGACATACAGGGATAGACACGATACTGAAAACTTTTCAGCTCCTGAATGTGGTCATCAAATGCATTAAAAAGGAATATTTTGTAAAAAGGCATTTGACACAGCAAACACATCTGGCTATGTAAGACTATATTGCAATGCATGTAAACAAAAGCAACTCAAGTTGCACAAAGGGTTTAGTTTTTCTTGCTTTCATTTTTGATGCTACACTTAAATTTTGAATGATGCTTTTTTGTGTTTGCAGATTTCAGTTATTTCTTTTTATTATTTTCCTAATTAGAGGATTTCAAAATTTTAATCTGAAAATAAAGCTGTCACACAAAACCATTTTATTAATTAAGATTTTTTACGTTTGCAGCTCTGTTTCAGGGTAAGGTTGAAGGAAATTCAGCTCTAATTATTTCAGCTATAACTATCAGAAGCAGAAAAAGAAAACAAAAAAGAAGAGAGGATGATATTGGAATATGCAGGTATAGGTCACCATGGAACACCTCTGTTGAGCAGGGCAGGACATTTATTAATACGTATGTATATATTGCCTTGCATAATTTAGACATAGGACTTTACTCCTGTTTTTCTTCTCCCTCCTTTCTTTTAAAAGTCCATTATGTTTAAACTGCTTCAGGAAGAACATGTCTGGAAAAGACTGAGGAAGGGTATGATCACAGAAGATTGGATGAGATTAAGAAAAGGAAAAAGGAACTAACTGGAATGTTGGGAGAAGAGTTAAGGAAGTTGTCATTCACAGCTAGGCAGCATTCCCGTTTTGCTTTGTTTTCTCACCATTTCCTGAGATAATTTTATTAATTCAGATATTCACATAGTAAATATAAATTATGCAATTTAAAGTAATAGATCTATGAGTACATGGTTTGGGGAATTTTTGCAGTTTTTATCTAGATCTTACTAGTCATGCTGAAGCATGTTATATTAAAATAAGAAGAAAGGATAGAATCCTTTGTAGTTTTGAAAGTTAAGCAGCTTTCCAGCAAATGATGCGTTACCCACAATGCATCAAATACAGCTTACCAAATCAAAGATATGGGATGCTTGTTTTTCAATCTGACATACCTTTTGTTCCAGCTTTGCTTATTTTTTCAACTTATTTTTAAGATGTGACATCCCCAGGACAATTCCTAGTATCTCATGAAGGACAGGCAGGTGATTTCTATGTGAAGATCTCTGGATGTAATATTTATTTGAAAATATATTAAGAACAATAGGTCAGATTGTTTAATGGAAAAAGGAAGCCATGTGAAGGAGCAGTGCTGAGCAATGTGCTGAACAATGTACATATGTGATCGTTGGAGTCTTGGGCTCAGGAACAAAGCTTCATCAGCACAGATACGGTTGTGGGGGTGTTGAAAATTAATAGAGATGTAGCTGGAGTGACAAAATCCCTGTCATGCACATGGCAAAAAGCCATAGGAGGAAAGTGAATTTGTCAGTTCGCTTTAGGTTGTTCACAGAGGCATTCCAAAGTATTTTGGCAAAAATCTTCTCCTGTCAGCATGCTTCATTTTGAGGACTCTCCCAGTACAATTTGGTGGTATCCCTATGATAGCTAAGACTGCTTGTGGCAGACAAGCTTGGAATCAGAACTTAAATAAACAAATCGCATTGTTTTTATTGAAAACTTGTTTTCCATTCCTTATTTTAAAAGAATTACTAACTTTTTTTGCCCCATCTGTGAATTTAGTCAATGGAGAATGATTTTGATTCTTCTGATAGATTGTAACTGTAGAGAGGAAGAAAAGGGTATTTTTATGGTTAGAGTAAGTTCTTCGCTCTTACATTTTTAAGCATGTTACTTTAATGTGGTGTCATTTAGCTTCCTGTCGTTTTGGTTGCTACTCACTTACACCTGAGAAAAATGGGAGGCATTGAGGAAGATTTCCAGTGGAAGCAGAAAAATAAAATGTACTAACTGAGTGGTGATTCTTCCTCACATGACCAGAAGGAAAAAAAAAACAACCTGTTTTGCTTTTGGCTGTGCTTGCTACTAAACACCCTGTCATAGTGTGTGAGGTGAGTCACGACTTGTTTATTTATAGCCTTGGCCAATCAAAGCCAAACGTTCTGAACTTCATTCAAGACCAGCAGGCACTTAGGATGTCTTGTAAACATTTGCTCTCTGAGCGAGGAGCGCTCTTCTCGGCAGCAAACAGGACAGGTGCCTGGGTTGTCGCTTCTAAAACATAACAGACTAGAAGATCGTTGCCTGGATTATCTAGATTGGTAGAGAGAGAGAGAATTCCTTTTACATCTGAAATGCCAGACAGTGAGGATCTGGGACAAGATGAAAGGTACTGTATGTTGATTCTGGTGGCCTTCTTGTGCAAAGCAGTACGGACTGAGGCTTTGTGTAATTAATCTGTGTACGCTCATGAGTTCTCAGCCTAAGATCAGTTTTCTCTGCGTTGTAACAGATCATCTAATTCTTGAGGGTTTTGCTTCTAATGCTAACCTAAGGCTTCTTAGGAGGGAAGCATTAGATCTTAGTAACAGCATAGAGGTTAAATTGTACAGCTCTTATGTAGTACTTAAACTAAAGGTGAAGGGAAGAAAGTACTGGGTGATTTCTACCTAGTCACTTTTCCCAGCCATGGGACAACTTGCAAGCCACAAAATGTCAAAGACACAAATAGTTTAGTTGGAGCCACGTTACTGACAGACCCGTAACTCGTTACTGTGAGACAGGGCACTGTGTCCCCTTGAGATATGCCTGTCTTTCTGACGTTTATCTTACTTAGCTTATAATACCAACAGTCAGGACAAGAAAGTACTTGGATCTAAAACTTAGTAACAATTTAACAAATACTGTTTTCTCAAATATGATCCAGCACATTCCTATGAAATAAACGCACTAATTGAATTTGTCTCAATAGACAAGGTATTTTAAAATAGGTATATTATTGATGTTTGGCTCTGACAGAGTTTATATTTTAGGCTTCTTAAAGTCCACATGGTCTTTCCATAGTTGCAGTTTTTACTGTCTTGATGCTAATCAAAATGTTGGCTCTAAAATGATGTTAGTGAAGTATTTGATATTGAAAAAAAAAAAGGCGTATATGTGGAAACAGACTTTTTTTTTTTTTAGACGTTAGTTAACAAAATGCCAGAATACAGAGGCAAATTGAAGAAATCACAAGAATCAGAAGTGAGCATTTCATTGTGGCTTCAGATTTGATTTCTTCTAGTTAGATTTAAATTTGAACATTTGTGTGGATGTTTTTCCAATATGTATGTCAACGTGTTGTTGTAAGATAGACAAACTACAGAAGACATTTCAGGTCGTCTTTTGTAGATCAGTATATTCAGGCATGGTCACCTAATTGGGTGAGTGTGGGTGAATGGATCCCCAGTGGCATAACTGAGTCTCTGCAAGGGTGGGGTCACCTACGCATTTCCGTTTGCAGGGATCTAAGTTGTGCCCTGTATATGACACAGATTAAAGGTAATTGTAATAGTAGGCAGCATTTTTTTCTTTTCTTTTCTTTTAAGGAATGTTGACTCATTACTGATAGCCACCAAAATGTTAATTGCTGTTCATTAAAAAATGTTTAGCTGGCTCTCCAGTTTGTTAAACTGTTTATTTTTCAATGCAGGAAACCAGCAATATGCATGAGACATTAAGAAAAGAGGTTTCAGATCATAATCACCTTTTTTTCTTTTGAATCAATTTTATAAGGGATACATCATGTACTTCCTTGAAAATGTGTTGTGGTTGTTTTTTTTTTAAATCAAGATGAGAGAAAATCTTACCAACTGAGAAGAAAAATAATTCTGAAAAAAAATTATTTCAAAATTCAGATTTGTGGGGGAAAAAAAAAAGCAGCAGTGTTTACCAATACATAAAAGAATGCAACTGGTATGCAAAACATACAAGCTTTGTAATATCTAACTTTCCTAGTTCACAGTTCTCTCTCTATAAAGACTTGTGGCAAGCTTTGGCAGTTAAACAGAAGTAATACTAGGCCTAAACTTCTAAGACTTCTTTTTTTTTATGAATCAAAGTTCTTTATTTTGTTTGGGTTAAAAAGGATGAACATTTCTAAAGCAATAATCTGAAAAAGTATAATAGGGCCTGCTCTCCCCATTCATCATTTCTGAAACTCCCATTAAATTAATTGACCTTGATCCTAGCCCCTCATCTTTTTGTGTCTTGCTGTCAGACAAAAAGGTTTGAGAATGTAGTTTAATCAAAAGGTTCTGTTTTTTTCTGGAATTAATTTGCCTTTTTGTCTTGGTGATAACAAATAGCATATAGCTGGAGAACATTCTTGCAGAAGTGCTAATGAGATTTAGTGGAGGTCAGAATATTTTGGTCCAAGTTAAACAAGAGAGAATAGAAGGAGGAGCTATTGGAACTTTACTGGAGCAATATGGGAACTGTACTGGAGCAATTCATTTTAGATTCGCAAAAGAAGACATAGTAATGTAACTGCACAGATAATGAGGTAATTTTGAGGGCACACTGAAACAAAGCTACTGCTTCATACATTTAAAAAAGAGGGAGCAGTGGTATTTCTGTAGAAGCTGTAGAAGGAGCTTTGTTTGCTGATCAGTTTCAGCGCACTGCACTCCTTGTAGCTCCTCTTCAGATGCAAACAAATACTTCTTACATCCTCTCAAGTTCAAGTCCTACTTCAGAAAATATGTAATATTGCATCACAAGTATATTTCATGAACTTTATAACATCATCGTTAAAGATGTGGCATTGGTCAATAGTCTGTTAGTCATACTGTAAATTTAAGTGTATAATAAGCAAAAGAACATATGCCACAAATACTTCTTCGTAAAGCTAGTAAAAAAACTAAGAGTCGTGAAGATTAGGCACCCACTCATATCTTCTGGTTTGTTTTGTCATATGACCCTGGGCAGCAGCAGATCAAGAAAAGTGAGGAAAGATGTGGTCAGAGGTAAAGGATTGAAAACAGCATAGCATAAGGATGATACTTTCCCCTAGTAATTCTTTATAATCAGGTCCCCTATAGTTTTGGTGTAAAATGGTATAATTTATTTTAAAAAAATTGACAACTGAGGAATCTAGTGATGGTGAAGAATGTATAAAACGTACTGTGCATAATCAGTCCTGAAGTGGTGGAAGCACATGGCTGTACGTGCTTCAAACAGATACCGATGTGTAACTTCCTCTATCAGAGCCATGTCTGTGGTGTTCTAATAGCTGTCACCTGCCTATTATTGAAAAGGATGGTGCACTAAAGTGTTAGCCAGGAACCTTTAATGACTTGAATGGAAATGGGGGAGAAAGGTACATTATTTTGAACCAGTTGATTTGGAACTACAATCTTACAGTGCATAACCTTTCTAACTATGTGCTTGGACTTAGAGAAATGGAGATCCAGTTTAAAGTCAAATCTGTGTATTATTTAATTACTCAAACCATGTTGATTTGGAATTATATAAGGATATTTGTTTCTTCTGCTAGCATTAGTTAATAAAGTGGAAAGTATTTGATTTCCTTTTATGATTGAATTCAGTGCACAAATGTAGGCAGCAAGTGGTTACCTCATGCCAGGAACGCTCAGTAATGCATCAAAGTAAGTGATCACCTGCTCATACAAAAACCATTAAAACCCATTGAAAAGAGTACAAACTGAAGTTCCATACAGAAAGAGTTAAAGCTACCTTGTAACATTACACAGAAAGTAATTTTCACATTTTTGCAGGTTAAAAGTATTCTTTGTCTGGCACTTGAAAAATCCCATTTTCCTTTTTTGTGCAGCAGCTCTGCAATTCCAGGAATGCTCAGCTCATCTTTCCTAGGTGTTTGACTTTGAGAGGCCTTGAACTAGGAGTATCCCAGCTGAAGAATGTGGAGGCTGAAGGAGGAAAATGAATTGGTTTTGTGGAAAAGGGTTAAAAGAGTTGTCTTTGCAGGAGAAAAATAAATGTGAAAAAATCACTTCCAACAGCTACGCACAGCTGTTTAAAATTCTGCAAACAGAAAACTCTGCTCCTGTTGATAGAAACAAGACTTCCTTACTTTTTCTTAACAAAAATAGCGCAATAAAAATGCCACTTTTGCATCACCAGTTTCTATTACAAATGGGAAGCTGACCTGGAAGATCCCAGCCCTTGTACTGTCTTGGTAAAAAGACAACAGCATGTAATAGCAGCATTACAGTCTTTGCTAAACAGAAAGTGAGTCAATAACAGTCTTTATGTGGCACTGAAACACTCAGTTTTCATGCAAGAGACATTTAAAAAAATCTACGCCTATTGACTAAGTCATGACTTCGGACGAACAGCACTTGGCTATCAGATCCTGTTTCACATTTTGAATGACCTCAAAGTGGAGTAGCTGGTGTTCTTCTCAGGGGAGCTGGACAAGAGTAGTGCGGGTCAAAGGAAGGGTTTCCGATGAGAGGTGACTTAAGAGTTTGCTTAGAAGAGTCTGTCTAGAGGAGCTGGACAATGAAATGCCCCAAATTTAGCTGGAATATATTCTGTTTATTTTAGCAGGACATTCAGCACAAAGTGACGACATTTCATACAGTCTGCTGTGTTGAGGAACTTGTGTACTAGAATCACCTTCAAAAAAGTCAGAGTTAACCAGTTTGTATCTGATCTGCTAAAGAAGGACAATACAGCTCCTTATTAAGACTTTATAAGACGACTGGTGTTATAGTTGAATAGAATAGATGAACACATCTCCTCCAAAATAAAATCTGGTAATGGGTCATTTTTATTTTGTTTTAAGCAACTGGTAAGACAAGTTCCCTATCCCTTTGCAGAACACTTGAGTGTATATTTATAACAATAGGATTGCTTTCATTTTCAGAAAAGTTTGGTTTTGACTACTGATAGAAGGCAAAAAAATACCTTCACTTATGGGATTGATACTGTTTAGCAGCACACCAGTGGTAAAATGTTCCCATGTCAGTTGAAGAGAAGAAAATACCTTTATGACTTTAGTCTTACTGTGTAAGAAGCATATAGAGTCTGGGATGAAAGGTTGCTTGTATTATGTTTTGTTGAAAGTCACATGTCCTGACCAGTCTGCTGTGCAGTCCATTGAGAAAAACACATCCAGCCTTATCAAATACTTATGATTTAAACATATTTCTTGTACAGTAATATTACCAAAAAATATTCTTGGTCAAGAAATAAAAGGGATGTGCATGTTACTGAAAGCTGTGAAATAAGGTCTTTTTTTAAGCTTTTTATTGCACACCTTACCCTGAAAGAAAACACTAACAGCAAATTGGACTGACTCACTGTTAATAAAAAGCACAGTATTGAAGATGAAGATAGATGAGGTCAGAAAGAAAACACTTT